AATCTCACGCTGAGTGGCTGCATGAATTTCCAAGAGTGATGAGTTTCTGAAATGAACCATTAAAATTTCATTAAAAGTAGGCCACGGCTGGAGGTCAGAGGAAAAGGTTACATGAGGTTATACAATCCTAAAAGAACAATATTTCATCTTTGGTTTTTAGTGAACCAATTATTTCCATGGTTATAGGAAGATTCCTATATTTCTAAATAAAGCACCTTAAACACAAAATGCCCAAAATCGAACTCATGATTTTTTTTCTTGGAATTTTCTCTCTTTTTAGCGAGGAATCATTTTAGTTGCCAATACCGTTATCCTCCTAGTCACCCAAATTGGAATTTTGTTTTTGTATAGAACTGAGGACAAAACTTTCTCTGCCATCTCTTTCCATGGAACAGTATCCTGAGTTTCTAGGTAATTCATGTTAAAGTTGTTACCATTTGCAACTATGTATCTGTGTAAAAATTATCTTGCCACTATACAAGAAACAAAACTCAGATGTAAAAGAATTGCAATGCTGAGGCTAGTATAAGATAAAATTGCCATCCATAATCTCTATACCAAATGTGCATGCAAACAAACATCATAATGTTCATTGTTTTAATTTATAAAATAAGCTTATCCTAATTCCTTTTAATCTAAATCTAGATTAAAAAGAATATTTTTTGGCCAGGGTGGCTCACACCTGTAATCCCAGCACTTTGGGAGGGGCAGGCCGAGGCGGGCGGATCACGAGGTCAGGATATTGAGACCATCCTGGCTAACACGATGAAACACTGTCTCTACTAAAAATACAAAAAAATTAGCCGGGCGCGGTGGCGGCGCCTGTAGTCCCAGCTACTCGGGAGGCTGAGGCAGGAGAATGGCGGGAACCCGGGAGGCGGAGCTTGCAGTGAGCCGAGATCGCGCCACTGCACTCCAGCCTGGGCGACAGAGAGACTCCGTCTTAAAAAAAAAAAAAAAAAGATGAAAAAAAAAGAAAATCTTTTAATGTTGGAATGCCGTAATTTTTTTTTTTTTTTTTTTTTTTTTTTTTTGAGATGGAGTTTCACTCTTGTTGCCCAGACTGGAGTGCAATGGCGCTATCTCTGCTCACTGCAACCTCCACCTCCGGAGTTCAAGTGATTCTTGTGCCTCAGCCTCCCGAGTAGCTGAGATTACAGCCACATGCCACCACACCCGGCTAAGTTTTTTGTATTATTAGTAGAGACGGGGTTTCACCATGTTGGCCAGGCTGGTCTTGAACTCCTGGCCTCAGGTGATCTGCCTGCCTCGGCCTCCCAAAGTGCTGGGATTACAGGCATAAGCCACCACGCCTGACTGGAATGCCATATAAAATTTAATTTGGGAAAAATGTCTGCTGCTAAAATTATGCGGAAAAAATCATTTATCTCTAGAATAAAAAGCAAGATCACAAGACAAGAGAATGACTCTACTTGCTTCTTCAGCCCCATCCCTTGCTACTCAGTCACATCACACATAGTTTCTGGAAAATCATCTTTTTTCTCATTCCATACCTCCACTGCCATCCTCTGTCTACAGTATCTCTTTGCCTGCACTTTAGACCCCCATACGCTTGAAGATTCAATTCAGATCTCACCAAAAAGTATTTTCTGGCCCACCAAGTCCTGGCCAGAAGTACCTCTTTCAAACATCTCTAACGTTAAACAGCATTATGGAACACTATTGTTTTGGGCTGAGCTTCTGCACTAGGCCCCAAGGGACCAGACCAAACCGAAATGGAGTCACTTGTGCTAAAAGCCACGCCAACAGAATGAAACTTTAAGGAAGTCAATAGATCTCAAAACAGATCAGTTTTTCCTGAAAACTGGAGATTCCAGTCTACCTGAGTCAGCTATTTTCCCTTTGCTTAAACTCGTATAAAAAAGTAACCTGAAGTAACCTGATGTTTACCAGTCAAGCTTTTTGTTCTCCCTATTGTTCTGTTTCCTTGTTCCCACCTTACAAAACCCACTGTTCAGCAGTTGCTCATGAGAGCTTTTAGTACATTTGGTGGAATGAAGGCTGCCCTGATTCATAAATCCCAAATAAATGCCCATCTTTGATCTATAACTAAATTTGTTGTAATTTTGTCTTTTGACACCTATAATGACATATGTTTTCAATTTTTATACTTACATTTCTCACTAAAGTGAGTGTGTGGAGGAGAGATTGTGCTAGAGATAGCCTAGCACATGGTGGACATGCAGAAATATGAAGGAAGGAAGGAAGGAAGGAAGGAAGGAAGGAAGGAAGGAAGGAAGGAAGGAAGGAAGGAGGGAGGGAGGGAGGGAGGGAGGGAGGGAGGGAGGGGAGGGAGGGAGGGGAGGGAGGGAGGAGAGAAAAGAGAAAAAGAGAAAGGAAGGAAAGGAAGGGAAGGAGGAAGACAATTTCATATTAAAGGACTCATAAATGTGGCAAGTTTTGCTCTTATGGCATAATTCAAAGGAAATATTAGCTAAGCTATCTCTCAAAATTATGGTTAATATTCAGCTTTCAGTAAACTGAATTTCCCACCATGAGATTCTTTTCTGGGGTGGGGGAGGGAGGCCAGGAATTAGTACTCTGAAAGCAACCATTTAAGCTGGAAATGCTCCTCTGCATCTAAAATATGACAGATGTCTCCAAGTCTTCAGACCAGGTTAACCAGAGGAGAGAAGGGCCTGGGAAGAAAGGACAAAAAAGTAGACAGTGAGACCCATTTCATGCCAGTTTCCCAGAGATGGTGGGAGAGGAAGGACAGAACGGCACAGACTCATCGGGAACCATTCAGTGCCCAGTTATGACATGTTTAAACACTGCCTTTTTTGAGTTTTTTCGGCAACCCTGTGAGATGGGAGGGTGTCACACATTTCTTCATTTGGAGAAACTGAGCTCCTAAAAGATTAGATAGAAGTAAAACTGGTAACAGCAGCCAAACTTTTCAATAGTCTCTCCTAGAGCAATGCTCTGTGGAAGGGAGAGAGACTATGTTGCTTCCCTAATGATAATGTGCTGATTCTGTTTGTTTAACTAAAGCTACACCAGATTAGCAGACCATAATTACAGCTAAAATCCTTGTCTCTGATACAGTTGACAGAATGTCTGTTTCACTGAGCTGAGCTCCCAGGAAAGGCTTTACTCAAGGTTAAGCCAGGCTGCCTGAAAGCAATAGTGCTGTTTCAGTGTCACACTGGATACTTTATCTGAGCAGCAGGATTTCCTACCCTTGGGTTTCACATGGTTTACTTTGATTTCTTGGGGCGATAAGTAAGTTTGCTCCTCTATGAAAGGTTGTGTTAGTGGCCATACCGTTGTAAAACCTTAAGAACTTTCTTTTGTGTCTGGGTAGAAAGATATCTGCCCCCCTTTTCTTTTTATACAACTTTACTGGGCCTTGTTTTAGGGAATTCCTCCCTCCATCCCCCAATTCTTTCCTTGCCTTTCAGCTTTGCAGAACGCAATGAAGTCTGTCATTAATAATCTTTCTTTGACCAGGCGCGGTGGCTCACGACTGTAAGCCCAGCACTTTGGGAGGCCAAAACGGGTGGATCACCTGAGGTCAGGAGTTCGAGACCAGCCTGGCCAACATGGCAAAACACTTCCTCTACTACAAAAATAAAAATTAGCCCGGCATGGTGGCGAGTGCCTGGAATCCCAGCTACTAGGGAGGCTGAGGAGGAAGAATCGCTTGAACCCGGGAGGCAAAGGTTGCAGTGAGCTGAGATCTGGCCACTGCACTCCAACCTGGATGACAAGAGCAAAACTCCGTCTCAAAATAATCATAATAATAATAAATCTTTCCTTTATCGAGTCAACTTTGAATGTTATGCTTAATTCCTTGAGACCTAGAAATGGAATTCAGTGTGTTTGTTTGATCACTGGTGGTTTTCTACAGTGGATCGAGGAATGTTCTCACCTCTTGCCAGAATCTTTTATATAGGCCTGCTCTCTTCTCTGTCAGGTCCCTTCTCTATTCACTCTCATCTGCTTTGTAAATCATAAAGCAAAATGTCAATGAATTTGACTAAAATTTCAAGAAATAAGTCAAGGTGAGAAAAGTAAGCTGACAACAGAGTTGAGAGCAAAAGGGGAAGCATTTGAATGGGTCTGTTTTGCTTCCCCCGCCCAAAACCAACCCAGACATTCCTTAAATAGAGCCCACAGTTTGTGGGCTTTCTAATGAATAGTGGCCAAGAGGCAGCCTCACATTTGAGGCATGCTATTACCATTTTTTTCTTCATTCCCTCTCCTTAATTAGGGTCTTTAAAGGGAGGCTGCCCTCAGATTCTGACAAACAGCATTAGCTTCCTCAGAATACAAGGCCTGATCCAGCAGCTATTGTCAGGAGGGTTTGCATTGAATCTGTGACATTGTCTATATTTCTAGAATGCAGGAGGAATATCTCGACAGAGAATTAGCTGTGGGTGTTATAAAAAGCCTATTCCTGAAGGTCTGAAGAACTGATTTTAGTAACCCAGAATAATACGGCAGGGAGATAGACTTGATTGGTTTTCAGTTTCACCGTTTGGCTAATGCCCACAATAAGATGCATTTTACCTGTACCAAACACATACGCACCAAAAAAATTCTTGAAACAGTATTTATCCCTTTTCCATGCAATTCCTTCTATTTTCCATTCGAATTTATTTCAGTTTCTAAATGCAAACCTCCACCTTCTGAATTGATTATCTCACACTAAGCAGTGGCAACCCACTGTTTGAAAAGCACTCAACGGGATGCCCTTTATTTTCCTAACCCTGTAATTCAATATAGAGAGATTCTGAATTGAGGACAAGCCTGATGAGTTTGAGGTATGGAATAAAGGAATCTGATCGGCTCCGGGTTTGTTGTGTTTTTAAATCTTCCTGTGTGTTCATTCTCTTCACCACAGAGAGGACTCTATTATCTTTGCTCAAAGAGCAGACAGTGCTCTAGCTGTTTTCCCCTGCTTAGCTTTGATCCCTGCAGCCACGCTCAACCCTTTCCCCCAAGCCCTCCCTTCCAGATGGGTTGAGGCTGTTGAGACTCCAGGGGTTTTCAAGGCTGGGAGCCCGCTGAGTGTTCACTGTTCCCACCTCCAATCTGCTCCATCCTCCAGCTACATTTCATTCCGGATCTACCAGGTTAATGGGATTATTGTTCTTCTCTGTTATTCTGTTTTTTCGTATGGGGTGAATCAGTTGGTTCCTGGGACAATTTTTAGTTGTTGGCTGAGATGACAAAAAGGGGTGGGGATTTTATTTTAGGAATAAGGGTTCTTCATCAGCCAGAATTTAATCTGGGAAGAATTTATTCACTCTCAAATGGGTTACTTTTTGAAGTGACTTAAAAATAAGATTTGTTTGGCTGGGTGTGGTGGCTCACACCTGTAATCCCAGCACTTTCAGAGTCTGAGGCAGGAGGATCGCTTGAGCCCAGGAATTCAAAACCAGCCTGGGCAACATATGGAGACCCTGTCTCTATTATTTTAAAAAAATTTTAATAAGATTGTTTTATCAAATAAAAGCAAAGCATATCTTAAGGCACGACTCATGTTTTAATGCCTATATCATCATCAAATCAACCCTACAACATTTTAGCTTCAAATTTTAATTTTGGTTAGAAAGATAAAGTGATAGACTGATTATATCATTTATTTTATTCATTGTATTCAACAACATTTACTGAGTACTTATTGGATACAAAGCACATTTATTGACCTCAAGATATCTAGACCTTTAGAAGGGAGTGTTTTAAAAATGCCTACAAATAGCCATTATATAAAATAAGATTTTAATAAGTGACTATACACAGTATAGTACATAGCCTAATCATAGTACCTCATCCTTTTCAGAACTCATAAGAGTGAAAAGAGAAATTACTCGTTCCTAGTGTATCTGTTTTGTCAAGACATAATAATGCCAAATTTCTCTATTCTTCATTTTAATTAAATACATGATTGATTGAGTGAATGCTGAGTGTCTATTTGGTGCCATGTGCTATAAATGTGACGAAATGATCCTCCTATTGATCTTTCTTTGGTTTATTGATGTTTGTCTCTAAAGAATTGACTTCCCAATACCTGGAATGCATGAGCATGGAGAGAGACTGAAAAATGGAAAGAAAGAGGCATGAACTGGCCGGGCGCGGTGGCTCAAGCCTGTAATCCCAGCACTTTGGGAGGCCGAGATGGGCGGATCACGAGGTCAGGAGATCGAGACCATCCTGGCTGACACGGTGAAACCCCGTCTCTACTAAAAAATACAAAAAAAAACTAGCCGGGCGAGGTGGCGGGCTCCTGTAGTCCCAGCTACTCGGGAGGCTGAGGCAGGAGAATGGTGTGAACCCGGGAGGCGGAGCTTGCAGTGAGCCAAGATCACGCCACTGCACTCCAGCCTGGGCGGCAGAGCGAGACTCTGTCTCAAAAAAAAAAAAAAAAAAGAAAGAGGCTTGAAGTAAGGCTACTGGAGACTGGGGTTTTCCTTCCTCTCTGATTGTCCGAATCCAATAGAAATATAAAGTGAGACCGGGTGCATTGGCTCATGTGTGTAATCCCAGCACTTTGAGAGGCCAAGGCAGGTGGATCACCTGAGGTCAGGAGTTTGAGACCAGCTTGCTCAACATGGTAAAACCCCATTTCTACTGAAAATACAAAAAATTAGCCGGGCGTGGTGGCACTCACTTGTAAATCCCAGCTACTCGGGAGGCTGAGGCAGGAGAATTGCTTGATCCTGGAAGACAGAGGTTGCAGTGAGCCGAGATCACACCATTGCACTCCAGCCTGGGCAATAGAGCAAGACTCTGTCTCAGGAAAAAAAAAAAAAAAAAAAAAAAAAAAACACATATAAAGTGATATAAAATACAAAATTTTAAACTATAGTAGCAACATTTGAAAAAGTCAAAAGAAACAGATAAAATTCTTTTTTAACAACATATCTTACACAATCCGATATATCTAAAATATTATCTCTACAATGTGAAATCAACTAAAAAACATTAGTGAGATAGTTTACAGTCTTTCAGGTATTTTTGGACTATTGTCTTCAAAACCTGGCATGTATTCTTCACTAACAGCACATCTTAATTTTGATTAACCGTATTTCTTGGGTTCAATAACCACAAATCACTCGTGGCTATCCTATTGAACAACATAGCCTAAATAAAGAAGCAGAAGTCAAGGAAAATCTAGATAGTTAATAAATGTCTTTAACATTTAGAGGAAGGGACTCTTACTTCATGGGGTAGGGGGAAATCTGAAAACCAGTCTTTTCTTTCTACCGATGGAGAAGTGGGAGGTGCCAACTGAAGATCCACTCGTTTATCTTCCAGCCTCTCAGACGTGGGGATATGAGACAGGGCTGGAGCTGAACCTCTCCTACTTCTCTCCAGCACCCCAGAATTAAATCTGCTCTGAGGCAAACAAAGGCAACTCTACAATCCTCACATTAGTATCATGGCTTGCAGTTGATAAATGCTTTCATGTACAATATATCATCGGATATTTAATCATACCTCGAGGTGGTCAGTTGAAGTATTACTATCCTTACTGCATAGATGAATGTTCTGGGGCTCAGGGAGATTAAATGGCTTGCTCCAAAGTAGCACGGTTAGTATCCAAGTGTTTTCAAACTTAAGCTAGTGTATGTCCCACTAAACCAGAGCTGCCTGGCAAAGGAAGTTAAGAAAATATTTATAGAAGTATGATTTTTTTAATTCTCTGGACACATTTCATCTACTCAATACCCCCCCCCCCAAAAAAAAAAAAAAACACTGGTGATCATTTTACAAAAGCATTGCAGAAATAACCTCTTGGCCAATTGAGTTTTTAACTGGGTTTTTGTACTTTTTTTTTTAAGTTGGACCTCATTGTCTAGTGTAGCAATTTAGAACATCTAATTATTGACAGCAAGTCTATATATTACAAAGGCAGAGTTTTTGCGTTGGCCCTGAAGTGTGTTGCAATCATTTTTGTCTGGGAAAACAAACAAAAGTGGATCGGCAGCATGGTTGTCATATGAGATGCTGGCTGAGTCCCAGGCCCTAGGACGTTGGCTTACCTGCCAACAATACTTCCCTTTCAGGCAATGCCAACTGTTTTATGAGAAGATCACAGTTCTCTGGAAGTGAGCTTTTGTGTTTTGCTCTAATCAGCAAGATCCAACTTTACTACCGTCATGGAGGGAATTACAGTAATTCTATCAACTTTTGATGCAACCTTCTTCCGACACCGTGTGAAACAGACTGGAAGGACTCTAAAGATGGAGAGAGCTCAATGCTTGAGAAAAGGAATTCTGTTTTTTGAAAGGTCTCTAGAGCAAAGGGTATGCAGTATGTTTATCACTTCAATTTCAGAAACATCATGGGCTCTAGAAACACATTCTCATCGATCTGTTTCTATTGCTCCTGGTTTTTTTTTTCTGCTCCACACAATTGTCTTGCTATTTTTATCTCTTTCATTCCACTCTGGAGCCGTGTTGCTTGGTCAGGCCACCATTCAAAATAAATGATTTTTTCCCCTCTTTTACGTTATACCTACTTTCTTAATTCTCGGCTGTTACTTTTCTCAATTAACCTTTGGCAAATCAGAAAGAAATTAAATTTAGCTGGTTGTAGAGAGAAAAAGTCATTGTAGAAGCTGGGATGGTCTGGAAGGGAATTAAAAATTATTTTGATAGCTCTCAGAATGTGGACAGAAATCGTAAAAATCCAGCTGGGAGTCTGTGTATCCAGTTCATCTCATTCGCAGTAAATCGTTGGGCGTCTCCTTGTAGCTGCCACAGTGATGCTAATGATGATGACTTCTTGCTTGAAGTGCTGAGTGTTGAATCCTTTGCCCCAGTTATGTGCCACATACTGATTTCCTTAACAGTAGACAAATACTGGAAACACAAAAGGAAGAAGCCGGGTCCTACTAAGCCACTCCCTTTGTCTAGTTTATCACTCAGTTCTGTCTATTTTTTCCTTCCTCTGTAGGAAATGGGGAGTTCATAAATGATAATAACAAACTTGCAGAAAAATATTAAGATAGAAACTTTTGTAGCAGCCAGCATTTTTCTAAGAGGAGGTCAAAGCATAAAGAAATAAATTGATCAGCCTCTGTTCCTATCTCCCCCAAAAACTCCTTCTCTAGAAATCCTACTCTCAGAAACTAGTAATCAGGCATTAAGAAAAATTACTTAATCCACTGGGCCCATTCATGTAGCTTATTATCTATCTTCCTTTAGACTGAAAAAAAAAAAAATTAGCCAAATTATTTACTAGCAAATCCAGAAAGTAGGTAAAGTTCTTTAGCAGTTTAATGTTACTATAACAGTCTGATTCACACACATTTATAAAATTCTCATCTGCACGAGTTGGCACACCCACAAGAAAGAAATGTCATCCATGACAAAGGGACTACCGTGTCTTTTATAGCATACATTCTACTATACATTTGCTGGGATCAAGGAAAAACTTACCCTTTGCCCTCTGAAGGCTTACTGAAAAATCAACTGACGAAAGGCAGATTAATAGGCGAAATGGCATACAAGTGTGTTAGTGTGCACGAGGGAAAATCACAGAATGATTGTCCAATATCCCAGTGAGGTGCAGATGATTGTATACACTTCTTAGGGGAAAGACAGACAGAGATGTGTAGACGATCGATTCTTAGGGGATTTCAATGGGCTTGGAGAACATACAGTGGCCTGGGATAAAGTATTTTGGGCCGGCAGAGCAGACAATGGTTTGTGACCAGTCTGTCCAGGCATGTTGATAGAATTCAGTCTTCCCATGGGTTCAGTTAATGAAAACTCAGGGAAGGAGCCAGAAGTAATTGTTTTCTTCATTGTCAGGTCCAAAATGTAGGCAAATAAGGAATTTCAGGGGACAACTTCATCCTGCACCGAGGATTAAGAGACAGGAGAGGGAGGAGGCCCAAGAGACCTCGAGGCTGCTTCTTCAGTTCAGCATGTCAAAGTACCATCTTTTGGAGTATCCCTTTCTTTTTTTTTTTTTTTTTTTTTCTGAGACGGAGTCTCGCTCTGTCCCCCAGGCTGGAGTGCAGTGGCGCAATCTCGGCTCACTGCAAGCTCCGCCTCCCGGGTTCACGCCATTCTCCTGCCTCAGCCTCCGGAGTAGCTGGGACTACAGGCGCCCGCCACCGCGCCCGGCTAATTTTTGTATTTTTAGTAGAGACGGGGTTTCACCGTGTTGACCAGGATGGTCTCGATCTCCTGACCTCATGATCCTCCCACCTCGGCCTCCCAAAGTGCTGGGATTACAGGCGTGAGCCACAGCGCCCGGCCTGGAGTATCCATTTCTAAGCTCCAACACATTCAAAGTACCTCAGAAGAACCAGGTGCTGCTAAGATAGTTCACAGGAAGATTCTGTCCTCCTCTCTGCATCCTATATTTAAAATTCAAGTGGTTTCTCTTTCTAGGCTACCCCATAACTTTGTTGGTTAAAAGATGTGCTACTCATTTAAAATGTCAAATTACATAGTCAGAGAACTGGCCTACCTGATTCACATACTCTGCCTTTCTCAGTCCCTGTAATCTCAGCATCATACATTCCATCTTTTCAATGTGCATATTAAAAGGTATCTTAAAGACTATATTACTTGTATTGAAACAGAAGAGTATCTGCGAACGCTGATTCAGCTTGCAAAATACATAGAAAAGTAGCAAGAAAAATGATGTAACACCCCATGTAGTTGGTATACTGGCCTGGTTTCAAGGCTGAAAGCAGTCTGAAAGGGACTGAAAAAAGTCTGAAAACGTGTGTGTGTGTGTGTGTGTGTGTGTGTGTGTGTGTGCAGCCATGCCTAACAACTCATGTTTAGCTTTCTTTTTTTCCCTTGTCTTCTTTTTGATAGAGTCTCATTCTGTCACCTAGGCTGGAGTACAGTGGTGCGATCACAGCTCACTGCAGCCTCGATCTCCTGGACTCAACCAATCCTCCTGCCTCAGCCTCCCAGGTAGTTGGGACTACAGGTACGTGCCACCACCGTCAGCTAATCTTTTAAGTTTTATTTTTAGTAGAGATGAGGTCTCACTATGTTGCCCAGGCTGGTCTTGAACTCCTGGCCTCAAGCAATCCTGTCACTTCAGCCTTCCAAAGTGCTGGGATTACAGGCATGAGCCACCCAGCCCAGTCATGTTTGGCTTTCTTTTTTCCTTTTTTTTAAACTTCAACTTTTATTTTAGATACGGAGGTACATGTGCAGGTTTGTTACATGGGAGTATTGCAATGATGCTGAGGTTTGGGGTTAGAATTCCATCACCCAGGTAGTAAGCATACCATACAATAGGTTTTTCAACCCTCCCACCCCCCACCCTGTAATAGTCTCTAATGTCTTTTCCCATATTTATGTCCCTGTGTGATTAGGTCACTTCCCAGAATGCTATATACCCACACACATTGAGAAAGGTTTTGGCACTAGAATTGCCCTGGGTGATTGTGTTGCAACGGGTGCCAAGACAGTAATGTTCTTACCTGAAACACTGCTGGAGTCTGCAGGAAGGCACTGATCCACCCTTCCTACAACTTGTTCATGCCAAAAAATACAAGGAAAGATGTAGCTCCCCGAGGGAGAGGGCGAGAAACTCTTGCCTCTTTTTAAATGAGTAGAACTTAAAGTTATGAACTAAGATAAAGAGAAAACATAAAACAAGTATCTTTCAAAGAGTAGTAAAATATTAGAACCCTAAAAGATCTGATGGGCACACTTATCTTGCTTGTTTCACCCTCATCATCATCATACAAGTTTATTTTATTTAAAAAACAGAAAACATAGAGAAGCATAGAAAGCACTCCAATCCCCCATAATTCCACCTCCTAAACATGCATACATTTATAGATTATGGTTCCATGGAACCTGATATATACAGGACCTGATACAGATGGATAAATTTTTCCCACCAAAATATCACAAATTATATTTCATTGTAGAAAATGTCTTTCTTACTTAACAACAAATTGCTGTCAGTAAATAAATATTTACCACATCATTGGTTGTTTTTTTGGGTGCTTTTGTTGTTGTTGTTGTTGTTGTTGTTTTGAGACAGGATCTCACTGTGATGCTCAGGCTGGAGTGCAGTGGCGCGATCTCGGTTCACTGCAAACTCTTTCTCCTGGGCTCAAGCAATCCTCCCACCTCAGCCTTCTGAATAGCTGGGATCACAGGCGTGCCACCATGCCTAGCTAATTTTTTGTATTTTTGGTAGAGACAGGGTTTCACCATGTTGCCCAGGCTGGTCTCCAACTCCTGTGCTCAAGTGATCCTCCCACCTTGGCCTCCCAAAGTGCTGTGACTAAAGGCCTGAGCCACTGTGCCCAGCACACCACGTCATTGTTAATTGGTACATAGTATTCTCTTAAGTGGATGTATTATAAGTTATTTAACTAATACCCTACCATTGATTGCTTAAGTTCTTTTCAACTTCTACAATGACAATTAATTCTACAATAAACAGTCTTCCGGCCAGGTGTGGTGGCTCACACCTGTAATCCCAACACTTTGGGAGGCTGAAGCGGGTGGATCATGAGGTCAGGAGTTCAAGACCAGCCTAGCCAACATGGTGAAACCTCGTCTCTATTAAAAGCACAAAATTAGCCAGGTGTGGCAGCACATGCCTGTAATCCCAGCTACTCAGGAGGCTGAGGCAGGAAAATCGCATGAACCGGGGAGGCAGAGGTTGCAGTGAGCTGAGATCAGACCATTGCACGCCAGCCTGGGCGATAGAGCGGCACTCTGTCTCAAAACTAAATAAATAAGAATTAATTAATTAACAAACCCAGATTTCAGGTGTCTCCTAATTTGAGGGACCAGGAGGGAACACCATGACCATGCATAGCTGCCTTTGTGTTCATCCCTTACATTGTAACTACCAGGACATGTGAACTCAGCCTGTCTTTGAAGCTCCTGAATAATCCTCTAATGTAAAAACCTTAGTGAACATGTAAACATAACTGGAGTTTTCATAGAGAAGGTGGAAAACAGGTTTTGCAAAACACATCTCACAGAAAAAACTCCCTCACAGACATGCCTGTTCTTACTCATTACCTGTTGTATCTGGGACTGGGGTAGAGAGAGGTTTGCAAACAAATCAGTTCTTCTCCCCAACTTGCTTCCTCAAACTTGTCTTGATGCTCAGCCAAACAAAGGAGCCTCCAGTTACCAGAAACTGCCCTTCTTAGAAGAAAATTTAGCAATCATCTAAACTTGTTTTAAACATGCCCTTTGAGATATCATGGCCAGCTCCAGCAGTTTGTATTAGAATATTTCTTCAGATCCTTTTCTGTTAAATCCTTCAAGAGCGTAAACTTTTCTTCACCTAGTTTCTGCCCATTTCTTGTCAATTTTCTTTCTAGTTGTTTGTTTGTTTCTTATCTTTCTGTTTGTTGTTTGCTTGTTTTGGTTTTGGTTTTGGGTTTTGTTCGAGACAGTCTTGTGCTATGTTGCCCAAGCTGGTCTCAAACTCCTAGGCTCAGGCAATCCTCCCACTTCAGCCTCCTGAGTAGCTGGGATTACAGATGTGTGGCATCATGCTCAGCTCTTTTTGTAATAATTTTTTCTTCTCTGGTTGCTACTGCAGTTGATAACTTTACTCCACTATATTTTCTAATCAACTCTTCTTTATATATAGAAAAAGTATTGATTTAGATATTTTTGTGTGTGTGAAGTCAACTACCTTACTGATTGATCTCATTGTTTCTTCTGTTTTAATTGATATATTATTGTTATCTGCAAACAATAATCGTGTCTCTTTATATATAGAAAAAGTATTGATTTAGATACTTTTTTGTGTGTGAAGTCAACTACCTTACTGATTGATCTCATTGTTTCTTCTGTTTTAATTGATATATTATTGTTATCCGCAAACAATAATCGTGTCTCCTTCTTTCGAGTCATACCTCTTATTACTTTCTCACGTCTAATTACATTGAGTAGTGCCTCTAAATTAGGAGTACTAGTAGTGATGATGGACTTCTTTGTCTTCCATTGCAAAAACTTTTAATGCTTCCATGAAAAACAACACGGATTTTGACATATAGTTTAAACATATACTCACATACACACACAATTTTAATTTCAAAGAGTTTACATTTATTCCTATTTAGTGATGGTTTAAGTTCCTTATCTGTATATTTGCTTTGTTTGCTTTTATTTTTAAACTAGGAAGAAATATTGGATTTGTCAAAATCCTTTGAGGTATCAGTCTACTGACCCATACTGAATTTGAATTATCTTCTTTTTAAACACTTAAATAAACTTAGACATGTTTATGGGCTGTTCATTCTATTGTAGTGATCTACAAGTCATTTCTAACACAAAAACAGTACAGGTCTATTTACTGAACATTTTAACACATTATAATAGCTAGAAATATTAGTATATATATATATATATATATATATATTTTTTTTTTTTTTTTTTTTAAGACGGAGTCTGGCTCTGTCACCCAGGCTGGAGTGCAGTGGCGCGATCTCGGCTCACTGCAAGCTCTGCCTCCCGGGTTCAGGCCATTCTCCTGCCTCAGCCTCCTGAGTAGCTGGTACTACAGGCGCCTGCCACCACGCCCGGCTAATTTTTTTTTTTTTTTTTTTTTAGTAGAGACGGGGTTTCACCGTGTTAGCCAGGATGGTCTTGATCTCCTGACCTCATGATCCACCCGTCTCGGCCTCCCAAAGTGCTGGGATTACAGGCATGAGCCACTGCGCCCGGCCTTAGTCCCTCTATTTTTTTAATCGTTAAGATTTTCTTGGTAGGGCATGGTGGCTCACGCCTGTAATCCCAGCACTTTGGGAGGCCAAGGTGGAAGAATCGCTTGAGCTCAGGAGTTTGGGATCACCCTGGGCAACAGAGCAAGACCCTATCTCATAAAAAATAAAAATAAAATAAAATAATAAAATTAATTAATTTTAAAAAGACTTTCTTGCTTCTTGTGTCTTCATATCCTAACCATTATTATAGTACTATCACGTAGATAGCCAAATTAATAAGATAGTTAGAAAATAATACAAAATAATTTGGGGCACTTTTATTTAAAAATTAAAATACATCCAGTACCACAAATTCCAGGAGAGGCAGAAATCAGTATGAGCTTAATGAGTGATGAAAATTACCATAGATTTATTTTTTGCAGATACAGAAGATGAGAGGGAGAAATTACAGAGTGATGGAGAAGGCAGACATCATGCAACGTGATCAAGGGCTATTCATTTTAAGCAGAAACATACATATGTAGAAAGCACCCTTGTACTTCTAATACCAATGACTATAAAGAAAAATAGTGTAGCCAAATAGTTCCTAGAATAGGAAAAATAAGGAATTACATTTTGAGATAAGAAGTTAGGCTCTAGTATAATAATTATATTGGGTCAAAGAAACATGAAAACAAATTTTAAAAATCTTACAACATGAATAAAAGTTTCACCAAATCAGGAGTCTATTATAAGCATGTTTTGAGTTATTTTCTTTCCCAAAGAGTTTATTTTTGTTTTAATTTATTTAAGCAGTATACACTTCTGAAAACATTTAATTAATGTCATACTGGTTCTTGTAAAAGATGAGGTCGAGCAATTCCATTAAGCTATAGGAAGATGAAGAGAGAATGTCTGGTAAATGAATTTCAAATAAGCTCCTTCGCAATATGCCCCTTCCATAACCTCTGCATCCTTGTCATCCCAAACTGCCCACATTTCGTTGAACTCCTTGCACTTCTCAGAGGACATCTTCCCTGTCAACCCACGGTATCAGTGGGCTAGGGGAGGTCCCCAAATACTGGAGGTACCTTGACCCTTGCCAGTGTCCAGGCACTTGACGCCATCATAGAAGGAATCCAGAAAACAGTGACTGTATGAAGATTTACTGCAAAGTGAATCTCCATGACAGTGGAGTTCAGGTGTACTCATCAAGAGAGTCACTCCCAACGGCGTTTGGGGCTGCTACCTTTCTGAGTCTCTTTAGCCAAAGGGTGAAATATTCATGAAGATTTCTGGAAAAAAGGTGAAGATTTCTCGGAACTGTGGTGCCACCCATTTTTACACCACATATGGGTGTTCCCAGAAGCCTCATGGCATTGGTGGGTATGTGATTTAGTATGTTAACGAACGTGCAGTGAAGTCCTTGGGAGACCCAGGTCAAATCCAGCACCATGTAGGGTCCAGTCAGCCTCAGCCAGGTGGGTCTACACCCTGGTTTGCAGAGTCTCAGCCCCTAGTTTATGCAGCTATTTCAACAGTTTCCTTTTTGCTAGTCCTGTGAAACGGCTGCCTAGAACTTTCTATTCTCCTACCATCACCCTGTGTTATTCCTGTCTCGTTACCCTTCAATTTCCACCCCCTTTTCCTCTAGATACGTGTACAGTGCTCAGTTTCAGACAAAGGATTGTGGAAATCATCCCGTGTCCCAGTCTGAGACAGCTGGCTCTTCTTTTGCTGCCATCGCATCTCATGCACACCTCTCTGAATCACTGGTTTTCTTGACTGTCTCCCTCAGTAGAGACACCATGGAAGGCATCTTACTTGTACATTCAGCATTTCGCATATGGAAGCATTAAAGATGTCATGAAAAAAACATTAAGTTTGTTTTTTTTTAACATCTTAAGAAATGTGCGCACAAGCTCTGCTCTCTACTGTATTTATTTTTCTTAATACCCTTGTGGTTGAAATGTCACATGTCACATAACATCACTAATATCATATGTAATAGGTATGATATTAATAGTCATATTCAAACTGTTAATGAATCACATCAAGAAAGCCCATCTTCTTTAGTGTCTACAAAAATTACAGAGGAAAAACAGTGCAAGCCAGTAAGTATAATATTAAGGGGCCGGGCATGGTGGCTCATGCCTATAATCCCACCACTTTGGAAGGCCGAGGCCGGCAGATCACATGAGGTCAAGAGTTCGAGACCAGCCTAACATGCTGAAACACCGTCTCTACTAAAAATACAAAAATCAGCCAGGCGTAGTGGTGGGCGCCTGTAATCCCAGCTACTCAGGAGGATGAGGTAGGAGAATCACCTGAACCAAAGAGGCGGAGGTTGCAGTGAGCCGAGATCGCATCATTGCACTCCAACCTGGGTGACAGAGCAAGAATATGTCAAAAGAAAAAAAAAGAATCGACCGGGCTCAGTGGCTCATGACTGAAATCCCAATACTTTGGGAGGCTGAGGCAGGAGGATCACTTGAGCCCAGAACTTTGATCCCAGTCTGGGCAACACAAGGAGACCCCCGTTTCTATAAAAATTTTTTTAAAAAAGAGAATAAGGGAATCATAAAGTTGGAAAGGTACATGAAAATCATTCATCCTGTGATTTCTAACTCTGGCTGAGCTTTTAATAAAATGCCAACAATGCCCAGGTCTTATGCTAAGAAAATTTGATTACGCTTGTTTTATGTGGTGAAGGAGTAGCTGTGTGTGTGTGTGCGTGTGCGCGTGCGTGTGTGTGTAGAGACAGGGGCTCCCTATGTTGCCCAGGCTGGTGACAAACTCCTGAGCTCAAGCAATCCACCTGCCTTGGCCTCCCAAAGTGCTGGGATTACAGGCATAAACCAGCAGGCCCGGCTAAGCAGTATTTTTTAAAGTTCCCCAAATACTTCTAATATGCACCCAGAATTAAGGACACCCTATCTAATCCTACTCCTTCATTTTCCTGATGAGGCAATATGAGAGGTGACATCACTTAGGAGAGTGAGTAAGGGATATACTAAAAATAACTAAAGTTGCTCAACGCAAAATGTTCTCTTTCCATCAGATCGTAGATTCATGATGGAAGGAATGATCAGAAAATCAAGAGATTGGGAAGAATTGGCTTACCAACTAGACTGAAAGTAAAGCAACTGCAAGCTGTATGTGGTGGCACTTCAAATAGGAGTAGTGGGAACTAACACGAAAAGAAAAACATGATTACAGTTGGCAGGCAAAGGAGGGATCTGTGCAGGAAATAAGTTGGCTGAATAAATAGAATGAGCTAAGACTAGATTATCCAAACACGAGATTCATTTCTAAATCAGACAGAGCTGAACTTAACAACAACTCTATCTACTTGTAGTTTCCTAACTGTATAAATTTTACACTGGTAACGAGCATGGATTTGCAGTTCTCTGCAAATCTTACTTCTGAAAATGAGAATATAGACAGCTCCCTGGTTCAGAGGAACTGAGAATGGAAATTACATTGTTTCATGAGGTCAGATTTTTCTCAGGTTTACTCACACATTTAGGATATCAAAATAAATAAATTGGGGGTGGCAAGGAGGGAGAACCAATGCAGGAGGTCAACTAATATTTATTGGCAGAAGAGCAAGGGAAAAAATGTGGTGGTGGTTTGTTTTCCATGAACAGCTCCAATCTCTTCATCCTCCCTCCAAACCAACTTTATTTCCAGATGGTCTTTAAATTCTATGACTTAAAGAAATATAGTCTTTCCAGGAGCAGTAGCTCACACCTGTAGGAAGGTTGCTTGAGGCCAGAAGTTTGAGACCAGCCTAGTCAACATGGTGAGACTCAAATCTTTTTTTTTTTTTTTTTTTGAAACTGGGTCTCCCTCTGTCACCCATGCTGGTGGAGTGTAGTGGTGCGATCAAGGCTGACTATAACCTCTGTCTCCCGGGTTCAAGTGATTCTCCTGCCTCAGTCTCCCAAGTAACTAGGATTACAGGCATACGCCACCATACCTAGCTAATTTTTGTAATTTTAGTAGAGATGGGGTTTCACTGTGGCCAGGCTGGTCTGGAACTCCTGACCTCAGGTGATCTGCTGCCCCCCTTGGCCTCCTAAAGTGCTGGGATTACAGGCGTGAGCCACCACTCCCAACCAAGACTCAAATCCAAATAAATAAATAAATATGTTACAGCTCAGGTCTTTTAGAATTTGTCTAGCAGTTTCCCTAGTCTTCACCAGAACACCCCCCAACCCCTACCACCCCACCAAAAAACGTTTTATCCAGGATAAAACTGCTTGCCTTATTATTTTCTTAAATTTCATGCTGTAATCATTTATACAGTTTCCCAACTTTTTTAGCATGAATCTTTCAAAATACAATTTTCTTATCTCAGTTTGTGATCCTGATCATATGTCAAGTAATATAATTTTCTGATTCATACTTTCAGAATATTTTGTCTTAATTTCCTGATTTTTGCACACACATATACAAATAAATCTCCATTTTTCTTTTCTTCATTCTTCTTTTATTTATTTATTTATTTATTTATTTATTTATTTATTTATTTTTGAAGATGGGGTCTCACTCTGTTGCCCAGGCTGGGTCTAGAATGGTGTGAGACTTAGAAATTACTGTAGATATTGTTCATTCAAGTTCTCATAATGAAAATTGTGAGACATCAAATCACTTTTTATGTTACGAACCACGTGCTTCACAAACTCAGATCTCAAAGCTGTATAGTAATAATACTGTAGATTAAATCTAAATGTCAGCCCATCCAAATATAAACTATTGGATATAGAAATATTCCCACCCAATTATGACTTCCCAATAATCGTAATAGTAAGCCCATACAAAAATAAAGCATCAAAGACTTTTTAGCCGCCTATCTACCATCCACTCTCTTTTCTATAGGTTTTCAAAAGTCTAATGGCTCCAACTTCAAAGTAAATCTGACTCAGTATTAGTCAGGGAAAGTCACTCCCAACATTCCTTGGCCCTTTCACCTTAATTCAGAATTCTTCCATTTTTTTTTCCTAAAAGAATCATCAATGGCTCTTGAATTTTTTTTCTTTTTTTGCATATATCCACCCACAAATGTCCCTCTTCCATTCTCCCCACAGGTACAGTGATATCTAATGATGGGTTACAATTTTTTGTTGTTGTTGTTTCCCCTTTAATAAATTCAGGGGCCTGAATAATTACTAAACAGCCAATTTTATATCTTTAAAATAAGTGTATCCAGGCTGGGCGCGGTGGCTCAAGCCTGTAATCCCAGCACTTTGGGAGGCAGAGGCGGGTGGATCACGAGGTCAGGAGATCGAGACCATCCTGGCTAACACGGTGAAACCCTGTCTCTACTGAATATACAAACAATTAGCCGGGCGCGGTGGCGGCGCCTGTAGTCCCAGCTACTCGGGAGATTGAGGCAGGAGAATGGCGTATACCCCGGGAGGCGGAGCTTGCAGTGAGCTGAGATTGCACCACTGCACTCCAGCCTGGGCGACAGAGCAAGACCCCGTCTCAAAAAAAAAAAAAAAGAAAGAAAGAAAGAAAGAAAAGAAAAAGGAGCCGGGCGCGGTGGCTCAAGCCTGTAATCCCAGCACTTTGGGAGGCTGAGAC